CTTAAAAAATCTAAAAGAGATTATTTATGAAAAGAAGTTTAAATAAACCCAGCCACATTGAATAGGTCATAGCTTTTCCCATTAGGTAGGATCCAAGAGAATTTGTGCCCAAAGTATTTGACACTACATACTGTACTAAATGCTTTAAAGATGTGCATCCTCTCTTACCAGTTGATCTACTTCTAGCAATATAACCTACGGAAGTGTGATGAAATCTTGCTTATAATAGTGAAAAATTGATGACAAAATGTGTACCTATAGTGAATTGGTTTAATTAATATATCTGTAAATGGAAATACATACCCATCAGTGATTACACCAATCTATATTTGACATTGAAAAAATATTCATGGTACATTGCTAAGAGAAAAAAGTAGGTGAAAACTTAATTTATTTTCAAAGAAGGAAACAAAATTTAGTGAAATCACTGAAACCCTTTCCAAATTACTTTTGTAGATTTTCGGCTTTGAAGAAATCATTCAAAAAGACATTATTGTCATAATCTGGAAGTGGGGTGGGGATGTCAGTGAACTAACATCTTGCCAAATCTGTGTGGTACATCAGAGTGATAAACAATAGGGCATGTGCATCTCAAAGGTGAGTTTTGAGTAGTGGCTAGATAGGGTATAGTTCCAGAGAGGCTGTTCAGACGAATGGGCTTGTCAACAGGACAGGGCAAAGTGTTTTCATGGTGCTCCCAGTCGTTTGAAGTACATTTTGTAGAAAGAACATTGATCTGTGAAAAATCTTATGAAAACAGTGGTGAAAATATGCCCAGTGTATATGTGGGCAGCCAACCCCAGGGACTTTACTAGCCATTTTGGCTTAGCTGGCACGATTAGGTCACTTTCCTTTTTTTTGGTAAAGATCTCGATTGGCTTTATTGTGATTCTGGAATCAGGCAACAAGTTATTCCATAAACTAGAATATGTGTTCCCTAGGTCACTTTCTCTATCTTGTAGAAACATCCATATCTGGATACTAAATGTTTCAAGAGTACCTATGTTGAGAAATTATTTGTCCCATTAGTTGATAATATGGTCATTTGCCAAGATCTTGGCTTTAGTTCAATATTGAATGGTAATCCCATTAAAGGGCAAAGGTTTTTATTCAAATTTTACAAGTAACAGTTTGTTTTCGAAAAGTTTTATTCACATAAATCTCTCTGAGACTCACAGCTTTATTCTAGGGGAAGTTTACACCTTTAAATATACTGTTAACTCCACCAATTTATAAAAATAATTATTCCTATTTTTTTCTCATTTATATAGATGGATAAGCTTGGAGGTTTCTGCTTTTCCAATTTATATGAGAATTGTACAATAACAAATGAACAGACCATCGCTGTGTCTGGATCAGATGAAGTGGCTGTTTCTGGACCCTTCAATCTGCACTGCTTTCAGTGTAGAGCGAGGAGAGAGTCTCTGCCTGTTTTGTTGCTTCCTTCTTTACATGTAATATACATCTGCTCCCCTTCATTTTGGGGATAGGCTTCCTTCCTTCTCTCTTTCTCTTTCTTTTTCTCTATCTATCTCTTAAGAAATTAAAAAAATTTTTATGTATGTTGGGCCGGCCCGGTGGCGCACTGCTATAGTGCGCCGCTTGAGAGTGCGGCGGCGCTCCCGCCGAGGGTTCGGATCCCACATACAGACCGGTTCCCGCTCACTGGCTGAGCGAGGGGCGGGTGCAGCACCGAGGGTTGCGATCCCGTTGCCGGTCCCGGTCCGGTACGGGCGCGACACTGAGGGTTGCGATCCGTTGCCGGACACGAAAAAAGACAAAAAGGAAAAAAAAAATTTTTTTTTTATGTACAAAGAGCTAGCATGGTTTTTTTTGTTGGGTGGATGCCTTGGATAATCCATTCAAGGAAGATCACTTAGTTCACCTTGATGATGCCTGTGTCCTTTGCATACTGATGGAAACACTGGCGGCACATATTGAGGCTGTATTTCTGGATCGGAACATGCTCCTTTGGGCAGAAATGGTAAAAATGAGAACACTGGCCAGATTTTTGTGGTGGCTCCAGTAGATCTTCTAGTGACCTCTTTTGCTTTTGTTACCAGGCCCAAGCCTGGCTGCCCACCCCAAACAAAAACTCTGGCTTGGCTTGCCAAAATCTGTTACCCGAGGCATTCAGCTCCTGGCTTAAGCTTGTCAAAATCTTGTTATGGAGCCCCAAGTCCGGCTGCCTACCCCAAACAAAAACAAACAACTCAAAAGTCAAATGTTGGTAAAAATGGAAGTCATCTTTAATGAGGTGATCTGAAGAGAGATGTTAGGCTAACCCATCTCTCCAGTAAACCTGAAGGAGAATGACCAGACTAAAACCATCTCAAACACTCAGATTTACTGAGGGTTTTTTTAAAGAGGGAGTTGAGAGAATGAAATGTGGGAAGTGAAAAGGAGGAGGGAGGGGGGGACATGTAAGGGGCCAGGTGCAAATTCTTGCCAAGGGTCCTTCTGGCTTCGTTCTTGTCCTTGGTGTTATCTCAGTGTCCTACTGGAGGGGTGGAATCAGCATAGCTTTATTGATGTCTTCCTTGGTTTATCAGGGTCTGCATAGTATATGTCTCATTGCAAGTTCGCAGTTCCAGACTAATTGGAAAACAACTTTACATTTATGTAAATAATGTCATCTTGCCCTGTAACCAAGGTTCAAAATATGAAATAACCACGGGAAAGAAGGAAATCATAGAAATATTTTATAGACAAGGCCCTAAAAAATTAAACAATTTGCTTTTAGCCACTAAGTCCAGTAAATAGCAAAGTCAGGATTTGAATCCAGGTCTAACTCTAAAGCTCTTTGTATTGCACAAGTTGCTAACTTTGTCATAGGAGTTAGAAAACTCTTAAGACTTCTGAATTTCTGGTGAGTTACATTAACTTCCTTGGCTATTGGTAAGATGAGAGGATTGAGCTGAATCTTTAAAGTCACTTCTGGTTGTAAAATTCTGTGATTCCTGGGTTCTTTTCGCATTCCAGCAGAAAATTTACAGAGCTTCTACTAGTTCTCTTTGTGAGCAGCCAATTTGGTTTGTAATGAATACTGTTGGCCTGATGATTTTATGACACCATTGCCAGTGGAGATGTAGAGAAGCCATGGTGCAGCATGGGTTAAAGAAAGTTCATTGTGTCAACTGCTGATTCACAGAAGAAAACTTGAATTCAAGTACCTGAGCATCAGAGGAGCCATGGCAAGCATGGGCTAGAGATTGTTTGGGTGGGAACTGGTAATTGTTTTTAGATACCAACATCATTTAAATTCAAAGGGTTTTTGTGCCTGTGTGAGTTTGTATGTATGTGTGTCTAGGCTTTGGGGATTGTGCTAGATGGTACAGTGATGATTCAGATTCAGTTCATTTAAGACTATATAATGTTTCCAATTAAATGGTAGAGAGATGGTTATAAGAGGGACACAATGATTATTGACGTAGGAACTAATGAGATGATTTAACATAAAAAAGTATCATTATTGCAGTATTTTTATTCCATTTATGTGGTACCTTTTTCTTGAATGTGCTGTGCAAGTATCATTGAGATAATAAGCCATTTAAAAATACCAAAAATGTTGAAGCATAAGAAAGTGGCCAGGAGAAGTAAATACACAGAAAAGGAGTGGTAGAGATTTTGGTCACTGATCAGCATACCAGGTTAGTGACTGGCTAAATTCATTGCACTCACTAGCAGTGCTGGAAATGGGTCGGGGCTTGACATGGAGGCTTCTTCCTTCTTCCTTGGGCCCGTCCAGTGCTCACCATTCTACATCACTTGGTTGTGATTGAAGACCGTAGGCTTTGTTGTAAAATGCTTTTTGCCTTAAAGTCTACATTTCTGACATTACTCTAGTAACTATACTGGTTTTCTGTTCGTTTATATTTGCCTGTCTTTTCTTACATACTTTAAAATTTCTTTATCCTCACATTTATGTCTTTATTATATCTCTTATAAACTGAATAAAACTGGACTTTATTTAATCTGAATTTTCTCTTTTAGGTGATAAATTTAGTCTGTCTACATTTATTTCCATTACTGATAGATATATTTATACTTACTTCTACCATTTTATTATGTATTTTCTATTTATTTTTTTATTTTTTTTATTTTTTATACATGTACAACACTTCTAGTTCTGTGATGCTTCTCTTAAGTGAGCCTCATAAAACAGCACGAGTAACTCTGGATACGGGGACATTTTCCTTGATCTGCACACAATATTTCTCTTAATTTACATTATCTTTCTTTCCCTCTCAGCTTTATTAAGGTATAATTGAAAAATAAAAATTGTATATATTTAAGATATACAACATGATTTTTTGATACATTGTAAAGTAATAACTACATACATTAGCTTTTTTTTTTCCTTTTTTTTTTTTTGTCTTTTTTTTTTTTTTCGTGTCCGGCAATGGATCGCAACCCTCAGTGTTGCGCCCGTACCGGACCGGGACCGGCAACGGGATCGCAACCCTCGGTGTTGCGCCCGCACCTCACTCAGCCAGTGAGTGGCCGGTCTGTATGTGGGATCCGAACCCTCGGTGGGGAGTGCGGCGCTGCTGGACTCCCAAGCGGCGCACTGTAGCAGTGCGCCACCGGGCCGGCCCATATGTATTTTCTATTTACCCTGCTGTTTTCTGTGCTGCCTTTTTCCTTTTCATTTGTCCTCTATTGGTTTGAACAACTTTTCTTTATTCCTTTGTACCTTTTACTGATAACCCTTAAAATTTTAATGTGCATTTTTGGCTTTGCAGAGTCTGATGTTAAAATCAGTATGTATACCATTCTTGGGAACAATAAAAGGCCTTGGAAAATTTTAACTCCAGCCACACTCCACCAGTCTTATATGTTCTTGACCAGCGTTTTACTTCCATCTTTTTTTGATTACCCAGATTATTCTTTATTATTGCTGTTGTTGTGCTTTACTTTTATATTAACTTCCATTGTTCTCTAATACTCAAAGATTGTGAACTCCTTATTAAACTGCTCTTCTCACTCCTTCTCTTCAGATTTTCAAAAGAAACAACCAGATGATGATTCTGCTCCAAGTACAAGCAACAGCCAATCAGATTTGTTTTCCGAAGAGACCACCAGTGACAACAACAATACCTCGATAACCACGCCAATTCTTAGTCCTAGTCAGCAGCCGCTTCCGACAGAACTGAATGTAACTTCACCGAGTAAAGAGGAGTGTAAGTTCCCAGATCCTGAGAAGGGTAGGAAGAACAGCTTGAGAACCATATCATGAGCTTCTTGGTAATGCCTAATCTCAGAAAAAAGACAGCAGTTCTTTTAATTCAGGATAAGTGTTCACATATAGGGCCTAAACTCAGCAACAAGAGAATAAGTTTCAGCCATTCCATAGAGTTTAAGTTCTCCTTAAGAGGTAGCCTTTTATATTAACTTTCAATGTACATGAGGTTTTGAACCAGTCTAGAGCAGTGGCTCTCAGCCCTGGCTGCACATTAGAACCCACTGGGGATTTTTAAGACAATTTTAATCTTCAGCATCTTTCCTTCATTCTAATTTAATTGGTCTGGAGGGAAGCCCAGGGATCTGTTCATTTTAACTCTGCAGAAGATTCTAATTTGCAGCAAGGGTTTAGAACCAGTGGTATATGCAACTTAACCCTGATTTAGGAACCTTGGATTAAAACCTACCCTTGTCACTAACTGGGCCTTGACTGTTTCTAAGCACTTAACTGAGATAATAAAGCCATATACTTTGTAGCACATAGGGTATTTGAAGTGAGGAGGAGATGGTTTGTTACTCTCCTGTAAGTCTTCAGTGATAGAATACTGTTATGTATGTGATATGGAAACTCATTGTCCACTTAGCCTTTATAATGCTATAGCTATCTTTTTGGGAGCACAACTATAACTGATAGTATTTGCTAAAAATTATAGGGATATTATGCCATAGCATTTTTTTGTGTTTTAAAAGCTTTTCTTAACTAGGTTGAATTTTTTTTTTTTTTTTTTTTTTTTTAAAGATGACCGGTAAGGGGATCTTAACCCTTGACTTGGTGTTGGCAGCACCACGCTCACCCAGTGAGCGAACCGGCCATCCCTATGTGGGATCCGAACCCGGGGCCTTGGTGTTATCAGCACCGCACTCTCCCGAGTGAGCCACGGGCCGTCCCAACAAGGTTGAAATTTAATGTTTCAATTTTAGTGAATATCTAGAAATGTAGTGGTTTAAGATGTTCTGTCTACTAACCTTCGAAGGGTTAGCAGAGAATAAATATTTATCTAAATCTGTTATAAACTACTGTATTCAGTAATATTTAGAATATAAAAAAGGTCATAGTCCCTGTCCTCCAAGAATTTACTATTTAGCAGGGGAAATTAAATATATTTGTTATAGTACGTCAGTGGTTCTCAACCAGGAATGATTTCTCCTCCTGCCACTACCCTTCTCCCCAAACATTTGGTAATCTCTGGAGGCCAGGATGCTGCTAAATATTCTACATTGCATAGGACAGCACTCCAGAACAAAGAGTTATCTAGCTCGATGGGTCAGTAATGCTGAGGTTGAGAAACCCTGTTATATGGTTGTGTGTGTATATATATATATATCCATGGAAATGGTCCTTCTTATGTATTGAAGACAGTGACTGTTGAAGAAGGCCATTGGTTTACCTGATGAACTGGTATTGAAGATTGATAGAAGGTGGTGAAAAGACATTCTAGACAGAGGATAATGAGCCATGAACAAAAGATGCATGGAGTTCTTCAATGGCAAGTGACTCCTGTAGGGGCATTTATGTAGGAGAAAGGAGGACAAGGTCGGAAAGATAAATTATGGCCAAGCCATAATTTATAGAAGCTTGACTGCCCAGCTAAGCTGTTTGGACTTCAGACAATAGCTATGTTGTTGAGTAGAGGAAGTGATATTATTATAGTTCTTTTGGAGAAGTAACCTGACCGTATTGAAAATGGGAAGGATTATACTGGAATAACATTGTAGAGAGAGAATTTTTTAAATATTATAATTTATTGAATAGAGGCCAGACCAGGTATAGAAATAATTTGAGGAGAAAAAAAGATGAAAGTGGTAGTGTTAATGTTAAGGCAGTAGATTTTGTTTTGTTTTAAAAAAATCTATTCAAGGTCATGTACTCACTGAGGAGCTGATGAAAGCTATGACCCTTTAGAAAAATATAAACTGTTCATTTACACCCAGTTTTGCATAGAATTTCTCTAAAGCTCGTTATGGGCTTTAATTAAAGATCTCCTGGTCTAAGGGAAAGGTTAGACCTAGTCATCCGATGGAACCTGGATTGGATTCGTACCTACCAGGATCAGGCCACAACAAACCAATTCAAGCAGCCAAAATACACGTGAGACTGTGATAACAATAGCTACCATTCATTGAACGCTTTATGTGTAAAACATCATTCCATGTTTTGCATATTTTCTCATTTATTCCTCATGAGAATGCACTGAGATAGATACCACTGTTATCCTCATTCTGTAGGTGAGAAAACAGGCACAAAGAGATCAAGTAATTTGCTCATTGTCACAAGCTAATAGATGACAGAACCAGGATTCTAATTCAAGCATTTAGCTTTTAAGGTCCATGCTTTTCATTAGTTAATTCACAATGTGAAATATAAGTGTCATGGAGAACAGAATATTCATTTGGCAAGATCAGTGCTTTCTCTCCCTATAATTAAGGTATGTGAAAACCCAAATCATAACCAGAAATTACTTTATTAATTCATTGTGAAAAATCATTGTTAACAAGGGTCGAAAATAAACATATATCCTTATGACTAAAACGTTTTATCTAAAGGCAGATCTTCATGGGAGGCTGACCCATAACAAGGATTTATATAGCAAATGGCAAAGCATGGACTCAGAACAAGTGGAGTTAAATGAAGTGAATTTTTAATAGTTGTGCTATTGCTTTTTGGCCTTTTGGCTAAGATCAAGTGTAATAGTTCTGCTAACTGTCCAGTGCACCCTAAAAACCAATAGGGAAGGTCTTGGAAGGTGCAAAATTCCATCTTCACATCCCTTTTCCCTCCCTCTACCTGGGTTTAGACCTCTCCTGAGCTTTGGAGCCTCTAAAACAACTTTCTATATTTCCATAACTTGCCAGTCTAGGTCACTGTAGACTGCCATGTTTTTTATTTTGATATATAAATCCGCCTTCAGTCTGATTAAGATGTTTAGTTCTACTAGATTCAGATCCATTCTTTCTCCTCCTGGTGACATCACTGCTTTAAACTATTATGTGTTCATCATGGAGTTATACTCTGAAGCTAATCTCATTTCCTAATTCCTCAGGTTTTCATAGATCTGGGAAAATGAGATTTGCCAGTCTGAAATATGATGATGACTTAAGTTTTGTATTGTGTTCAGCTGGGCAGGTTGAGTTGGCTTTCAGGAGAAAGAAGTCAAGGTTGACTTTATCCACATAGGGACAATAGTTTAAGTGTTCGGTGTTAGATGAGATTGCTAAGGATAAGAGCAAAGAAAAGCAGTGAGGATAGACCCTTGAGTGAAACCTCTATATTTAGGGAGCAAAAGATACAGAGGATGCAACTGAAGAAGTCAGAGAAGAGGAGAATGATAGTGGGCAAGATCACAAAAGTCAAGAGACAAATTCCAACTTAGGGTGTGGGCTTTGATGATAATAATAATGAAAATGTTAGCTCACATTTATGAAGTTTTGCTATTTTCTAAGCACTCTTCTAAGCTCTTTAGATGTACTAACATTTAATTTTCAATATAGCCTATGAGGTAGGTACTTTGATTACATGCCCGTTTTTAAAGTTGAGGAAGTTGAAGCATTGAGGTTCAGTAACTTCAAAGTAACAGAGCTTCTGCTTGGCAGTGGAGTCCATGTTCCAACACCCTAATTTGGGTCCAGAGTCTATCTTTCAGCCACTACATCATATATTCCCTCAATGTTGTGTAAATGCTGCTGAGGCTGTAAACTGACAAGAGGCATTTGGATTTGGTGATCATGAGACTGATTACCTAAATAAACTTTCAATACAGTGTTTCAGTGGTTTGTATATTTATTTAGCAGTCTTTGCTGAGTGCCTCATATATGTTTAGGCACTAGGTTAAGTGCTGACAGATATGAATAAGATGAGGTCTCTACCCACAAGGAGGTCACATTTTCAAATACACATGTCTCTCCCTGAGATTCTAGCTTGTTTTCCCAAACAGGTGCATAGGAATTTTGGGTTGGAAGGGAGGCAGCAACCAGCAGTGGTTAACAAGCATGTCATTTGCAAAAGCTTTCTCAAGTGGGCTTTGCTACCCCACCTAGGTTGAAAGCAGCTGTGCGAGAGTGAGGAGACGTGTGTCAGGTTTGGGGGTAGGGAATATGGGGACAAGAAAAGTAACCAAGGTTCGTTAAAGCTGTCAGGGTAGATGCTTTTTTTTTTTTTTCCCTTTTTGTCTTTTTTTGTGACCGGCAACGGATCACAACCCTCAGTGTCGCGCCCGTACCGGACCGGGACCGGCAATGGGATCGCAACCCTCGGTGTTGCACCCGCACCTCGCTCAGCCAGTGAGCGGCCGGTCTGTATGTGGGATCCGAACCCTCAGCGGGAGCGCCGCTGCGCTCCCAAGCAGCACACTGTAGCAGTGCGCCACCGGGCCGGCCCAGGGTAGATGCTTTATAAGTCAGCATGAGATAATTAGTGTGATGGCCAAGTAGTGGTAAAGACCCTAGGTGAGATTAGATAGCCTGATCCCTCCACTCCTTGTAAATTTCTTCAGCTGTGACCTGCCTAGGAGGAGAAGAATGGAGGAAGAGACAGAAGGGGATTACCTATGTTGATATTTTAGTATCTATCCTCAAGGGACCAGAATTTCATCCATTGATCCTCTTTAGCTTCCCCTAGAGAGATGTGGAGAAGAAGCAAGTGTAGGAATTGCTAAAAAATGAGTTTTCAGATGCCAAATCCAAGTACTACATAATTTGTAAACTATTTAGAAGTTAACAAATCCATTGTAATTTCATAGAGTGGGAAGTGCTATGTATTCTTCAGGGCTTATGAAAAGGTTTTAATTTTTTTCCTGTTAAGAGAATGAGTATTGCTTAAATCTATTTTCAACTTCTTACTTTTAATGAATATATCAACAGAAAGGTGGTGAGAGTCTGGGTACATTTTGTTTCGAAAAAACTACATATTAATAACTATTGACAAGAGTGTAAAGCAGAGAAA